TATTGATCCATATTCTTTTTGAGTGCATTATTACATTGAAAAGTACAAAACAACACCTAAAAAGTAATAAAATAGTACAAAAGCACACTCAAGGTCTATTTTAAACTCATAAATTCATTAATTACAAATTCCAAATGAAATATAATAAAATCTAAAATTTATCAAATATAAGACTGATAAATACTACAAATTGAGTGTCACAATCACAAACTCTCTCTCATCTTATCTTCACAATCCAAGATCTGGGTTCCGTTTCTCGACTCTCAAAGCTCCCAATTTCTCATGTCAATGGTGAAAAACATCACTTGGTCAGAAGTCTCAAGGGTTTCTTCAAGCAGTCAAAATTCTCCGCTTTAGAATGAGAGTTGCTGTGTGAAAGAGGCATTATTTGATACTTGAGAAGAGGTATCTTTCATCTCCGATTGGGCTTCCCATTCCAATGGTAACAATTTTTCCTCGTTCGAGATTCTGGCTTGGAGAGGATAGAAGGTTAGGAGTGGATGACGTGATTCTGGATTGTGATCCAAAACCTTATATTTTGATGTTCAAAGAAGAAACCAAGGCAAGGGAAGAAGAAGCTGGAAATTTGGCTAAAGTCTCGGAAACGGGTCGTGGTACCTATTTTGGAGGCTTACTCGTTTTGTTCGGGAGACATCCGAGGAAAGGTAGGAGTTGGAGATAAAAGTAGAAGTATTTCTAAGCATTGTGATGGCATTGGATCATCGATTTGGAGCTTCCTGGACACCAAACAAGTAGCCTGAAGATCGTATGGTGACCAGTCAAAATCTACGGTCAAGGAGCCAATTCCACGACCATGGGATAGAAGGATAGACAGTGGATTTTGGCAAGGGAAGTTCCACGGTTAGAGACCGAAATCCATGATCGGGGAATTCAAGGGTAGACCGTGGATTTGCAACTGACGAGTTAAAATTACCTTTTTGGTTTAGCATTATGTTTCATTTCGGGTTTTTGGTTATTTTATTTACCCTGGCCTATATAAAAGGTTTGAGACAAGAATTTTTTGTAGACTTTGATGAATATTGATATTTTCTTTGTTCTTTGAGCTTTAGAATTTTCTCCTTTCTATCAATCAAACTTTTTTCTTGATTATTGTCGAGCTTCTACCCTATATTGATAGAGCCTTCTCCCATCTGGTGTGGAGATTGCACTTTCAATTCCATCCTCTCCCAAACAAACAAAAAGACCCTAAAAATCTGATTATGTGTTCGTTCTTGAAGATGCGATACTTTGATAGTTATGGGCTCCGGTTCCGTGCTCGTATCAAGTGGTATCGGAGCTCGGTTCAACACAATGGCGAGATCAAAAGGCGAGAGGACTTGTTGCTTCTCGTACGAGATCGAAAAATTGGATAGCAAACCACGTTGCAGAAGAGGATACATTGTCAGAAGAAGAAGCCATAATCGAAGAACCAACAATGGCAGAGTATCAGGTTAATACTTCAGAATTGTTGCAGACTATCATGGCACAATTGAATGCGACCTTCCAAGTTCAATTCGATCAGCTGAACAAGTAGTTTGATGCTATTTTCCTGCTAGCAGCAGGAATCCATCTAATTCTTGGGGAGAATCGACAACAAGGCATTCCAATTGGAACCGACCAAGCCCTAGATGCGAGGATTTGCAACTTGGAGCAGAGGTTGATCACAACAGAGCCCGATTGAGCGCGTTAAGAACACAAGTATAGTGATTACGGTGGAAGATCACCAGAGGCAAGACACGAAGGTACCATAGCTGAAATACGAGGGATCAAATTTTCAGTTCCTTCGCTTCAAGGATCTCTTAATGCTTCTACATACCTGGATTGGGAGAGGAAGATCATCATATTCTTCCAATGTGGCAACTATATCGAGCAACAAAAGGTTTTCCTAGCTACATATGAACTCACTGATTATGCAATCATATGATGGGAGAAGGTAAAACTCAAGAGAAGAAGGAATATGCAGTCGAATGTGACAAGTTGGTTGAATTGAGAGGGCTTATGAGAGAGAGGTTCTTTCCAGGGTACTATCAAAGAGAACTCTTTGATTTCTTATAGGGAATTCGCCAAGGAACACGATATATTGAAGAATATTTCCGAGAGCTTGAACTGCTCTTGATGAGGGCAGATGTGAGGAAAGATAAGGTAGCTACAATTTTGCGTTTCCTACATGGCCTTGATAGAGAGATTAGGCACAAAGTTGAGCTTTAGGTTTGAGAATTTTCTGCTTTGTACCAATCAAGTTTTTTCCCTTGATTACGGTCAACTTTCTACCCTATATTGATAGAGCATTCTCCTATCTTGTGTTGAGATTGCACTTTTAATTCCATCCTACCCCAAACAAACAAAAAATCCAAAAAATATCTTTTCGTGTTTGTTCTTGAAGATGTGATACTTTGATAACTACGGACGCCAGTTTTGTGCTCGTATCAACAGAGGTTCCTCATATGAATGAATCTGGGTTCCGGTTTGAGATTGATGGATGAATTGGACTAGGAAAGCCTCGAGAAGTTCAGTTGGAGTTCACTGACGAGGGACGGTATCGAAGAAGGGAGAGTGCAATAAGGAATAACTTCCTTTATGCTTTTTTTTTAATTAATGTTTAGATTATAATAACCTGAAATTAAAAAATATGTGAAATTTTAGAATTTTAAATGTATATTTATGATTAAATGGCAGTGACATGACTCGTTGACCATTAGTCAAAGACGTTGACCGTCCAACTTTACGGTCAACCCTCGAGTTGGACCAATTTAGTCTTTATGGGTATTAGTTTAGGCCACGATAGATAATCTGAAAAGATTGGGGAAATTAGTCATTTACTGTAAAGTTAAGGTCATGCTAAGTTGTGAACCCTATATATTTTGTCATACATCATCTACTATTTTTTACATAAAAATATGGATAGTTAGCATAAAAAGTCACCAACCTTTGCACTTAGTTCAAAATTATCACAACCGTTGTAATTTGTAACGATGCAATAATACATGTTTGAGTGTATACGATAAATGGTCATTTGGTCCTTCTTCGTCCAAAAATCAGTTAGTTTTGTCCAGCCAACACTTCACATCACAAAAATTATTAAGATAATAAGTAAGAACTCCATTATGTTGGTGTTTTGCCTCTGAGGGACATAAGATCTCCATTCATGCTCTCAATTGTGAGGGTAGTCATGCTAGGATATGTTAATTCCTCACTTAGCTAGCTACGCATGCGGTACAATATCTCCATTGTGTCGGTGTTTTGTCGCTGATGGGCACTAGTTATTCGTTCATGCTCCCCATTGTGAGGGTAGTCATGCTAGGATATGTTATATATGTATGTATTACATGTTTCACCGTACGGTTGTGCTAGCTAAGTGGAGAGCAAGGCCCCATTGCAAGGTAAAATATGTAAAATTCGCACTTTCAGTATAAGAAATCATAAAAAGTAATAGTAGATAACCTCTTTCGAATAAACTAGGATTAGAACTGACCCCACCCTACACTAAGGAATTGTAGATGTGCTAGTTTGTAACAGGGATAAATGACTCCAGATGACTCCCGAAGGAAGATTTTTAACTTGAAAACTTAATTAGAACGAAGCACCTAATGCGATTTTATGAAAAATGTTTACCGATACAAAGATTTCAATATTGTTCATGTTTTCAGTTAATATTTACCAATGACATTTTGATAAAATTATTACCTGACAGGACAGGCGGCTACAGTATTTGTATGAGGACAGGCGGCTACAGTACTTGTATGCAAAATTGCAAACACCACAAATTTTGCGATGAAAAAAAATTTGTTTTCGAGAAAATTAAAAGAGCAGACATTGTTTCACCCAGGTGTACATGGGTCGGTTGGTTCGGTTTTAAGTATTTTAATCACCTGACCCATGCACTACGGTTTGGGAATTATCAAACCCAAACCCATCCAAAAAAATTTAAACCCTACGGTTTGTTTCTAATTGGGTTGGGTCGGGTTGGCGATATTTTTAAGTAAAAATCCAACCCAACATAAAATATATAATTATTATACACCATAAAAATATTTTATAACTAATTAAAATTTCAAACAAATAAATCGAGGTGAAAGGTATCAAAATTCACAAATGTTGTTTGAGTTTTAATAAAATGTGATTTACTTCAACATATGTCTAGTTTTTTTCACGATATTTGTTGAAATAGGCTAAAAAGGTTATAAACAAATGCATCCATAATATGTTATTCTATTAAAATTGTATACAAGAAAAATGATTACGTGAATCATAATTATATTCAATTTATGTCTAAACTTTAAGTCGAAGAATGCATTAGATTAGGGAGACCATGATAGAAAAACATGGCGAAATATCTTAATTTTCACATAAGTATGTCTATATACGACATAAATATTTTTTAGATACGAACTCATACTAATAGTTGGAACACGGGTTGGGTCGGGTTCTACGGGTTGTGTAATCCAAACCCAACCCAAAAGAGGCGGGTTGCACAAAAGAAAACCGTCACCCAACCCAAAATCTTCGTTTTAGCGATAAATACGGATGGGTTAGGTCGGATTGGACGGATGGGTCGGTTTGCGGGTGTGTTTGTTCACCTAGACTTTCACCTAGAGATCATATGGCCTTGAGATCATATGGGTATTGGTAACTCGTTTTCTTCTCCCTTCTGTCGCTGACTCTCTCTCTCTCTCTTCTGCTCAGTGTTTCGGTGAGCGGTCTTTGTTCAAAATGCTCAATTTCCAAATAATTTTGTATTTTCTCAGGATTTCTAATATAATTATCCCCTCTTTGTGTTGAATTTTTCAACCTTGCTTGCCATCCCCCGTTCCGTCCACTTTCCTAACAAGCCCACCTTCGCCTTTGCTCACTCCGCCTGGTGACTCACTCCACCCTGTCCTGTCTTCCCTATAAATAATCCCAAAACCTCACCCAATTTCCACTCAGAACTCACTCAAACCGATAAGTCATTCAAAAAAGGAAGGAAAAAAAAAAAAAAAAAGGAGAAGCAATTATCAGCAATGGCGATTCAAAGAAGCGTCGATTCAGAAGAAGCTCCCATCCACGGCGACATCCTGGACACAATCCTCACCCACGTGCCGCTCATCCACCTGCTGCCGGCTTCCCAAGTTTCCCGGTCGTGGAACGGCGCCGTCTCGACCTCCCTCCGCGGGTTCAACAAGCCCAAGCCCTGGCTCATCCTCCACGCCCAGAACACCCGCTCCCCTTACCCGACCACGGCCCACGCCTTCGACCCGCGCTCCCGGGTCTGGGTCCAGATCCACAAACCCGAAATCAACTACGTCTCCGCCCTCCGCTCCGCCCACTCCTCCCTCCTCTACATGCTCTCCCCTGCCAAATTCTCCTTCTCCTTCGACCCGCTCCACCAGACCTGGGACCACGTCGACGCCCCGATCATGTGGCGGACCGACCCGATTGTCGGGAAGGTAGGCAAGTGGGTCGTCATCGCCGGCGGAACCTGCGACTTCGAGGATGACCCGCTCGCCGTCGAGATGTACGACGTCGAGTCCCGGACCTGGCGCACCTGCGAGTCCATGCCGGCCATCTTCAAGGACTCCGCCGCCTCCACGTGGCTCACCATCGCGGTCGGGTCGGATAGGATGTATGTGGCGGAGAGGAGCACGGGGGTCGGGTACACTTTCGACCCGGATACCGCGGTCTGGAGCGGGCCCTACGACGTGCGGCCCGGGGGAAGCGCCTCCTCCGCGCTGGGGATCGTCAACGGCCGTCTGGTCCTGGTGGGGCTAATCGGGGATGGGGCGAATCAGAAGGTCAAGGGTTTGAAATTGTGGGAATTGGACGGGGAGACGATGGAGTGCGGCCGGGAGATCGGGGAGCTCCCGGCCGATTTCTTGAAGGAATTGGAGCCCGATTTCGCCGGGCTGTCGTCGGTGAACGTGAATTTCAAGGGGGATTTCTTGTTCGTGACGAACAATTCGGCGCCGGAGCGGGTGATCGTCGGCGAATTCGACGACGGCGGGAGGTGCGGCTGGAGCAGCGTGCGGAACTCGGTGGTGAACGACGATGTTCGGCTCTCCAGTACGGTGGTGTACACGTGTGCCGACGTCGGGCTGGGGGATTTGCAGCGGGCGACGGTGTCGGCCGGTTGGAGATTCTCCCTCAAAGACGGCGCGTGAATGTCAGATTTTAATGAAACTTTTCCTTCCTTTTTTTTTTCTTTTTCTTTCTACAAAATGAATTCATAAATATTGGGTTAATGTCGACACAAATTTCATTTGTACTTACGGACGGTTTAATTTGAACTTTTCCGATGTGTACTTGGTCGTATGTTATTTAATTGACGCAATATTTTTTTCATCGTAATGCATATTCTCGTAGTTCGACGCCAGTGTATGAAACGCTAGGTTCGGCATGACACAAATGGCAGCTTGACAAACTTTTAGTTAAATGTAGCTACTGGCTAGTACCCAGAATTGAGCCTCGGATTTCAATAACTGCTGTTGAGTTGAAAATCTAGCTCGATTTATTGCTTTGGGTGGCCAACTGTGATGCTTAGTAGTTAGACGGTTGGTATTTAGAAAAAACATTGACTTGACCGTATTTAAAGTTTAATTTTTTTTTTGTCAAGGATTGGTGGTAATAGAGTTAATAATTGTTACAAAAAAATATTGTGGAGTGTTGACCTATATTGTTTTTCTTTAATAGATAAAGGTAAATAAGTAGTCAAAGAATAGTAAGCAATCAAGCGCAACAGTCGACAGATAGTCGTACTGTCGATGAAAGGGCATTGTTGATCACTAAAAGAGTAGCCTTGTTAAACCTGTAATGAGTAAATGTGCACAAGAAACGAAGATAGGAAGACACCGCAAAACCGATCTCCTATAGAATCGCACCACCCCGAGCCTTGTTATACATTCTTCACCCAAATGCGGCGCACCAAGGTTTGACAGTCGCCGCAAATGTTCATAGAAAATAATGATGTGTTACACACCAATTAATTGCATCACGCAATGCCAATAGTTCGATTAAGAAGGGATCACTAATACCTGAATAATACTTTCCAACGACGAACAAAAGATTGCCACCGATAGTGAACCCAGCGAAATCAATGCCGCTACTAGTGCCTCGCTGCCAAGCATCATCAAAGTGAACAATAAACCACTTGTAGGAAACCATCCTGGACTTGTCGAGAGAGAGAATATGTAGTCTCAGCAGAACACTCAGACCGAAGAGAATTCCCCATGTGCAAAGCCATTGGGGTAGCAGCCGCACACCATTTGTCAGCTTGAGCCTGGAACTGGCGAAGTAAGGTAGGTCCTCGATATTGAATGTGCTTATGAACCGCCCAACAACGGAATTTCTATGAACACCAACAAAGGAAAATAATATAATGAATAGCTTCTTTGGATAAATGACAATCAAAGAACAAAGCATGCCAACAGTCAACGTGACCAAGTGAGGAGAGCCTAACCCTTAACATTCTTTAACAAGGAAAACCCCCATAACTCTATAGCTAGGAGGCAATTAATGAAGGAATGAGTAATGGATTCGTATTGTCGGAGCAAACATGGCACGTACACTCAGTAACCAATGTTTTGGTCAGCAAGATCCCGTGAACCAGTAAGAAATTCCGAACCATTTGCCAACAAAAGAACTTCAACTCGGGAGGTAAGAGAAGATTCCACAAGCATTTTTCAGAAGCTTGAGTCAAATGGAAAAGGAGTAGGTGGATGGAGGCGATTAAGTTCAGTAGAGAGGAGATGGTACCCAGTCTTAACCGTATACTCTTCGGAATGAGTGTAATGCCAAAGAAGCTTATCAAGAATGAACTCTTGCGGTAATGGGATGGACAAAGTCATTTTTGAGAGAGAAATTGGAGTTCTTCTTACATCATAGTGAGAGAGGGATGAAGCTAGAGAGCTTAGAGGAGAGCTTTCCACTACCATTGGAGGCTTGATTTCAACACCAAGAGTAATCAATGTCCAAGATCTTCTTCTCATGATGATTGTCTTCTCCATTTTGGTTGTTTTTTTCACTCTACCTATGGTAGTTGATGAAACTTTATTTATAGTGTTTGTCACTCCCATATTTGATGCATTTTCTCATTATATTGAAGGTACAAAGCAACCTAAGGAAGATTGGATAAAGAATTCAAGAACTCCGGAGGACCAAATTAGCTTTAAAGCTTAGTTAGTAAAGTACGGTATGAGTATTAAGTATAAACTACGTACAAATATTTTACTTTGTCTCTAAACTAATGGTACGTTTAAAATTACGTGAATAGCCATAAAATATATAAAATCAATTATTTTAAAAATAAACAAATATATAAATAAATAGATAAGTTAGCAATCTAATTCATTAAATACGGAAATAAAAGGTGTTATACGGGTTTTACACATATTTAGTACGGAGCCATCAAATGAACGGGGGGACAATGAAACGGCTTGACCATAATAAGGATACAAAATTTTTGAAGGGATAAAATACGTACGACCATATATAGGTGTATTAAATGGAGTATTTAAGCTATAAAGAGAAGTTTAAGGAGTGTTCACGAGAAAGAAGTAGTCCATTGAAGTCAACTAGAAGTTGCTAGTATTTCAAGACAAGCCCATAGGAGGAAGAATCAGCCATTCCAAAGAACGAAAGAAAGAAAGAGCAGTGGCCCAAATAAAGGGACCAACCGTTGTTACCCAAAGTTTCAGTCGAAATCGTTAGTAATTGAAGTCCATGGATCAAGAATCCCAATCCACAAAGAACTAGAGCTGCGGGGTCAACAAAAGCCATACCTGCCATCCCTTTTTTTTGTTGACAAAGATTCATATATCTACTGGGTTTATGAGACTCTTTCCTAGCCGATTTAGGTTGTTTTAGGTTGGATTCTCCGCTATAAATTGAGGGCATGACTCCATTGCAAGAGTAAGGTTGCACAAACACACAAATATTTGTAACACTCTGCAACCGTGCTTAGTCTAGTCGAAGTAGAGGAGGTCTGCAGTTAATGAAATGATGTCATCATCAATGGTGGTATCTTCATTATCCTCTATATAGCTAGTCCAAATTGATTGTAAATGCGGTCTTGTTCATTGTTATGTGAATGAATGCTATGATTTCATCTCATACTTGTGTTTGTCTATGAATTTTGATGCATGTGATGATCATTGATGGTTGCTTGTATTTGATGCTTATGATGGTTATTGATGTTTCCATAGTATGAATGCTCTTAATAGTATGAATGCTCTTAATAGTATTAATGCTTATGATTATATTGTATGCTACTATATGCATTGTGCTTAGTATTGTCTAGATTGTCAAGAAATTACCTTCTAGTGATACCTCATTGACATTTTTTCTTAAATGGAAGGAAATGAGAGAAAATTACCTTCTACGGATACCCCATTAACTAACATAAAAAGGACATAGAATGGGGGTAGTGATGGCAATGGGGCGGGGCGGGGCGAGTACCTCAATTCCCATGCCCCGCCCACGCTACTACGGGTCGGGGCGGGTAAAACCCGCGCGGGTACGGGGCAGGGCGGGCCGACCCACTCTTACATGTTATTCAAAAGAAATACAAGTAAATTTTACTTTTTACAATAAAACGTAGGAAAAAACACTTTAAGAATGAAATATATTGATAATAGAATGGATAATTGAGCCTAACAAGTTGAAAGATCGACTCTAACTAGTTGAAGAAAAGTAAAAATAGGAGAAATATGTATAGATATTGTAAGAAATTGAGATAAAATGAGTCTAGAACGGGACGGGGCGGGGCGGGTCGGAAGTAGATACCCATGCCCCGCCCCACGCTACTGCGGGTCGGGTAATACCCGCCCCATCCCGGGTCAGGTCGGGTAATACCCGCGGGGCGGGTTGAAATTGCCATCACTAAATGGGGGATTGATTCGTCAGAGGGAAGGAAAGGAGAGAAAATTGGACTAATTAATTGGAGTTTTTTCTTAAATATCATTTGTTAAAAAAATATCCAAAATATCGTAGTTGAAAAAATATTTTCCAATATACTATCATAATAGACTAATTCTTGCGCGAACGCCACAATTGGGTTTTGTAATGGACAAAAAAACCAACTGAATTTTGCCCGCCTTAAAGATGAATCGGGGATAAAGATATCAATTGGGGCGCACACGCCCCAATTATTCTTTCTTTCGCCCTGATACTATAAACTCTTCCTCACCATAAAAATTGCATGAAAACTCCTCCCCACTAGATTGTGAAATATTTATTAAATATAATTTATTAGTTAGTTATTTATCTATTAATTAGTTACATGATGATTCATATAGACTTTTGGTTCATCCATATAAGACTCGAGGTACGTCTATATTAGGCAAGTATTACAAGCTTTGTGAAGTATACCTTCGCATTGCTGGATTGTATACTGTTAACGAGCTTGCACCGCTGCATGATGATTATGACTTCATCACGATAGTAGTGGAGCATTGATGATCAGCGACCTCGACTTTCACCTTCCTTGTTGCAAGTGTACTATTACATTGGAAGATGTTACAGTTCTTATATGACTATCATGGAATGAGTTATGCATGTATCCATTTGGAAAGCTTTTCCAAATTTTATAGGTGTCATGGAAACCCCTAAAAGAGTCTGGAAACACCACTAACTATAGCTACTGGCTAGTACCCAAAATTGGATGATTATATTTCAATAATATACTCAGAACTTCGTTTGTGAGACATTTGATGTTGTATGAGAACTATTAATATGAATTTTGAAATGCTTTGGTTCATAAATGTTTATCATCATAATAAAAAAAGTTTCATAAGCTCGTAACTTAGTGGTTTACCTTTTCATGGTTTGAGAAACATGTATAATTCATATAATACTCATATCTAACAAATTATATTGGTAATGGTGTCCGATCAATTGACGAGGTCATGGTGAATGAATCCTCTACAAGTTACAAGTGCAATCGAAGTTTTCCACTCGACATTGATATACTTTCGAGAGGACCTATTTGCGCTATCTCTTTGCCAAGCCAAGAACACACCATCATCAATCCCTCTTGGTGGATGTGATGGTGGTCAATCCATGATTTCTTATATGGTTTGGGATAAAGATAAGAAAGAAGGAAAGAAGAAGAGGTATCGTCGACGGAGCCTCAATTCTCATCAGGACCACGAGCCATCATCATTAG